TCCTGTGGACACTCACTGCCAGGCCTGGCTGCCCGGAAGAGAAGGACGGCTCTGGGAACCCTTGGCACGAGACGTCACGACCACAGCAAAGGGGGCAACCGCCCCGGAACCCATCATCCCCCGTGACAGCGAGAGAAACTTCTTTCGATGGGCTGTTAACTTGCAGTTAAAGTTAGGCTCTAGCAAGCACGCGATTTTGGTTTACATGTAACTTTTTGTTTCCAATATTCTTACTCACTATAACTTGAGTCTTTGATACCAACCGTACTCCTGTGTTCACTATAAATAGATCTCAGTGCGGTGGGGTGGGGTGGGGTGGGGTGAAGCAGGGGGGAGGGATAGCTCAGTGGTTTGAGCACTGGCCTGCTAAACCCAGGGTTGTGAGTTCAATACTTGAGGGGGCCATTTAGGCATCTGGGGCAAAAAATCTGTCTGGGGATTGGCCCTGCTTTGAGCAGGGGGTTGGACTAGATACCTCCTGAGGTCCCTTCCAACCCCGATATTCTATGAAAGTGCAGGCCCTGAGCTGAATCTTACAAGCTGTATCTCTAGACTCTCAGACTTGAGGGCCAGAAGGAGCTCTCTTGATCATCAAATCTGACCTCCCGCACGTCGCAGGCCACAGAACCCCGCCCATAACAGGCCCGTAACCTCTGGCCGAGTCACTGACATCCTCAGATCTGGATTTAAAGAGTTCAGGTTACAGAGAATCCACCATTTACTCTAGTTGAGAAATACCAGCCCGTTCCTTCAGGAACAGCATGCCTGGTACGTCTGTGAGCTGCCAGAGTCGGGGTGGATATCATAGGGGTGCACTTACCGTTAACCTGCCAGGCAAAGTAGGGGCTGGCCTAGCCCCGAGGAGCTGTGGGAGGGGCTAACAGGCTGGTGGGGGCAGGGAGCTGGGAGTAACAAGGTGACTCACGTCCTGGGTACCCCAAAAACCGTATGAGTGGGGCAGCCGGCAGGAGTTGCACAGTTTGCCGGTTAGCTGCGGCTCCAACGCCAAGCGCTTGTAAGCGAGGAGGCTGGGAACAGACAAGGTTACAGCTTGTTGGTTTTGGGTCAGGGAAATAGAACGAAATGAAGTATAAGCTGGGTGAGGCGGCCAGATGGCCAAAAGCTCCACCCCAAGGGCTGGAGGGCGAAGGGGAGGCAAGCTCAGAAAACCAGCCTAGCACATCCCCCTGCGGCGTGGAGACGCAGCGCGTGGCAAAGGAACGGGCGCACCGGAGCTAGGAAGCGGCAGAAGCAGCACCCCAGCGAGCCACAGAAGCGGCCGTGTGAGGCGAAGAACCATGTGCACACGGTGCTGGAGATGCAGCTACAGGGGCCCCAAGCCGCCCCCTCCGAGGCTCGATCGCACGGCTGCGACAAACGTGTCCTAGTGACAAGGTAACTGGCTGGACTGACGAGTAGTTAAAGGCACAGAACAGCCCTGGGGCCTGGAAAACGGCGGCTCCACTCCCCAGGCTCCTGGGTAAAGTGCTACAAGGGTTTTCACGCTGTGGCTGTGAATAAAGTTACGAGCTATGCTGGGTTTAAATTGTCTCTGGTAAAAAGGTTTCAGAGGATGCCAGAGGCTCAGGGCCTCAAACTCGGGCCCCTCCTCCGGAGCGATAAACGGCATGGGGAATAGCTGCATAAAACGGTTCCATTGTCAGAAAAAATGGATGAGAAGTAACGGGGCAGCCCCACGCCACGCTGGGGGAGTGGATCGCTCAGGAGAAAGTATCCACTCGCCAGTGACGGAGGATCCACCCCAGGCACATTGTTCCAATGGTTTGTTTTATGGTTAACATTTGTACCTTAGTCTGAGTCTGAATTTGTCCAGCTTAAACGTCCAGCCATTGGATCTTTTTAGACCCTTGGCTGCTAGATTGACGAGCAATTCTGTTCCAATTTCTGCTCCCCAGGTAGGTACTTACAGACTGTGATCAAGTCACCCCTGAACCTCCTCTTTGCTAAACTAAATAGCTTGGAAAAGAGACGGCAAAGGGGGGATATGATCGAGGTCTATAAAATCATGACTGGTTTGGAGAAAGTAGATAAGGAAGTGTTATTTACTCCTTCTCATAACACAAGAACTAGGGGTCACCAAATGAAATTAATGGGCAGCAGGTTTAAAACAAACTAAAGGAAGTATTTCTTCACACAATGCACAGTCAACCTGTGGAACTCCTTGCCAGAGGATGTTGTGAAGGCCAAGGCTATAACAGGGTTCAAAAAAGAACAAGATAAATTCATGGAAGATAGGTCCATCAATGGCTATTAGCCAGGAGGGGCAGGGATGGTGTCCCTAGCATCTGTTTGCCAGAAGCTGGGAATGAGTGACAGGGGATGGATCACTTGGTGATTCCCTGTTCTGTTCACTCCCTCTGGGGCACCTGCCATTGGCCACTGTCGGCAGGATACTGGGCTAGATGGACCCTTGGTCTGACCCAGGACGACTGTTCTGATGTTTGAGTCTATCACTCTATGGCAGGTTTTCTAATCTTTTCATCAGTCTCAATGCTCTTTGCTGACCCCTCTCATTTATCAACATCCTTCTCGACTTGTGGACACCAGAGCTGGCCGCAGGATCCGAGCAGCGGGCCCACCAGTGCCAAGTGTAGAAGTAAAATCACCTCTCTGCTCCCGTTCATGCCTCCCAGGATCACATCAGCCCTTTTGGCCACAGCCTGACGCTGGGAACTCCTGTTCAGCTCATTATCCGGCATGGTCCCCAAACCCTTCCCAGAGTCCCCCATCCTGTAAGCGTGGCTGCATTCGGCGTTCCTAGATGCACACACTGGCATTGAAACACCCAGGTGCTTGCACCCTCTGTACCAAGCAATGGATCACGTGATAGCGGTGACCCGTCTCCTCACCAATCACCACGACTCCCATGCAGCCTTTACCAGTCACGAGCTGATGTTTTTTTTCCAGATCATTGATAAAAATGTTACCGAGCACAGGGCCAAGAACCAGCCCCTGTGGCCCCCCAGGCACACGCCCGCTTGCTGAGAAGGATTCCCTAAGAATTACAGCGTCAGACCGTCAGCCAGCATTTAACCTGGGCCACGGTACTTTTTTATCGTTCTAGTCGTGCGATAGCAAGTCAGACACTGCACTGGACTCACCACCTCTCACCGGCAGCTACCGCCCGCGGAACCCCGCCAAAGAACAATGCCCAGCTCTCTGGCCAGGCTCTGGCCCCATAACCCCGCACTGATCTGCAGGCACTGATCTCCTGCCCGTGATGCTCTATTCACCGAGTCCCATGCCAGCCGCTCCGTTTCCGTGCCCGGGATCGATGTCGGACTGACCGGCTGTGACGAAGTGGGGGGGTTTCTTGTTTTCGGTGGAGTTTCAATGGTTTGCATGCGGAGGGGGTGGGACTCAGTTTCCCTGGGTGTTACTGGTTTAACGAGGTGAGGGGAGAGGGAGTGTGTTTTGCAGAGGACCGGAGAGAGGACGTGGGGACCCAGCCGGTGGCCGGGAGGATGGATACCCCAGCGACCAGTGACCTGGCGACCTGGTGACCCGGAGGCCCAGCTGAGGAGACGCAGCCGGTTCTGGCCAGTGGGAGGACAATGGGCTGCAGAGTGAGGACCCAGTGACCGAACCAGCCGGTTCCAGCCAGAGGACAGAAGCGAAGAGCGGAGGCCCCAGTTTACGACCCTGTTTACCTGGAGAGAAGACAATGGACAGAGGCGGGGCCTGGGGCCGGTGATCTGAGATGCCCAGCTGGGAGCAGGGGGGCTCTGGGCTGGAGAGGGGGAGCAGGCAGAGCCCACCTGGATGCAAGGAGACTGTGCTGTGCTGGGCTGAGGGAGGCCAGGCCTGAGGCCCTGAGAGTTTCCTGTGCTGTGTTCAACCCTCAATAAACCCTCCTGTTTTACGCTGTCTGGGAGTCACTCCGGGCTAGAGAACAGGGTGGCATCAACCCCTTCGGGGGTGGAGGCCCCGGGGGTCCAGAGCGAGGGGACTCCCTGAGGGGGCCCACGGCAGAGACAGACGTGCTAAGGCTCAGAGAGGTGCGGCTCCAGGAGGTGGAGGGGCCTGACCCCGAGAGAGAGTGGACCCCCGAGAAGGGCTGTCCCACTAAAAGGGGCACCCCCCACGGACCGCACGGGGCCACGAGTGGGCACGATCTGTGAGTCCGTGACACAGGCCTGTAATTCCCCGGGTCATAACTCTTGGCAGGTGAGCGCTGCAGGCAAGGGGCAGGGTGGGAGGGCCAGGGGGGTGCCTGGCACTGGGGTGCAAAGCGGGGGACACAGGCGGGATCAAGGCGCTCAGGGAGGAAGGGGGTCGGCGTTTCAGGAGAACATGGCAGGGGCTGGACTCGTTCCCTTGTCCGTCCCAGCCCACGACCCCTGTGGCTAGTGCGAGGGGCAGCCCAGGGCTGGGTCAGGTGTAGGAGGCAGCAAAGGGCTCGGGCTTCCCCTTGGCTCTGTTCTCCCGGCGTGTGGCACAGCCACCCCTGGGGGGGCAAATGACCCCCCCAAGAGCAGCCACTGCCCTGAATGAGGCCAAGCTCCTCCCCGCAGGGGCTCCCCAGGACAACTCCCCATCTAGTGAGTTAGACGAGGGGGGCCCCAATGGGCAGAGAGGGCCAGGGGCACCCACTGAAGGGGGGATGGGTGCAGGGCCATGGCACAAGGGGAGGGCAGGAGAAATGGGGAGTCAGTCTTGGAACCTTGCCCCACATCACAGCTGGGATCCCCCCCAGTCCACACAGGACCTGATCCCCCACTTCCTCCCGAATTGGTGTAAGCCTGGCTTTTCCCAACGCGGGGGCCTTTCTCCCCCGGACTCCTGGGTTCCAGCCCCAGCTGTTCACAGATGTGCTGTGCATCCTGAGGATGAGGCCGGCTGGCAGCCCAGCCCCTCCCGAGCCGGCCCCCCTCTCCGCTTCGGGCAGGGGTGGGGAACCGGAAATGGCCCTTTGTACCTAACTGAGCCCCCAGATCCTCCCCACGCCGGCGGGCCCCAGCCGCAAGGAGACAGAGCAGCGCAGCACTCGACTACTTTATTTGGCCTCCAAAGCTTTAAATACAGGCCAGAGCTGGCTCCGCACGGGACAGAGGCAAGGGCAGATCCCCCGTCGGTCGGACTAGGGCGGGGGGGCCAAGAGCCGCCCGCCCCCCCCAGGGGGCACAGGGCCCCCCCCAGCGGCTCGCTGCCCGGGGCGTGGAGCCGAGGCGAAGGGGGGCGGGACGGGCCCAGCGCAGTGCCCTGGCCCTGTGGTGGCGCAGCAGCTGGGGCGAGGGCTCGGGGAGGAGACGAGGAGAGACGGCAGCTTGGTGGGTGCGGTGGGGCCGGAGCCCGGGGCCTCCCCTAGCGGCTGTAGCCAAATTCATCCGCGTCGTCAGCCCGAAAGTCGCCGTAACGCCACAGGTTCAGCTGTAGGGGAGAAGGGCCGAGGTGAGAGCCGTGGCGGGCCGGGGAGGGGTCTCCTGCTCCCCCTCCGCCCTGCCCCACAGCCCCCCCGCCAGGCTGTTCCCCACCCCCACTCCTCCCCAAACCTGATACCACCCTCAACCAGCACCGGCCCCGCTCCGGCTCCCCTGGGGCTGGGGGACAGGCTGCTGTGGGCCCCGAGCTGGACTCACCCGGTTGGTCTTGGCTAGCTCCTGCGCGTTCAGGTACTCGGTGATCTGCACGAGACAAAGGCCGTCATGGGGGGTGGGGATGCATCCCTCTCGCTGGGCCCGGGCCCCCGTAGCCACACCCCCAATCACCTGCTGGGCCCGCCCCCGCCCCCAATCACCTGCTGGTCCCGCCCCTGAGCCGCGCCCCCAATCGCCCGCTGGGCCAGGTCACACGACACAGAGCGTGGGGGTCCTGAGCCAGACAATTCCCGTCGCCCCCCAGGTGTGTGTGTGGGGGGGAGGGGGAGTCAGGTTCGGGTCACGGTTTCCCGGCTCTTTACTGCCAAGGAGCTGACAACGCCCCAGGCCCCTGTCTGTTCCGGTATCACCAGCGACCTGGCGTGCACCGTGTGCTGTGCACCGGATGCCATTCTGAGAACAAACTGGGGTCCCTCCACGCAGCAGAAGTGTCTGAAGCTGCCCTGGCTCTAGGGACGGACCCGCACATAACCCAGCGTGGGGCCCAGGGGTCTGGGGGCCCTGCTTTGGGAACCCACTGGCCAAGGGCACCTTTTCACTGCGGGCTCAAAGCGCTTGGCAAAGGGGGAGTCATGCTACAGATGGGGAAACTGAGGCACAGAGCAGGGCTGGGACCATTCCAAGGCCACAAAGGGTGGGGCTAGAATCCAGGAGTGCTGAATCCCAGTCCGTCTGCTCCAACCACTAGTCCTCACTGCCCACCAAGAGCCAGGCATGGTCCGGCCGGGCTCCCTCATTTATGTCCTGGACAAGAAGCGGCGGTTACTCTGCAGCAAGGCAGGTTTGGGTCGGATCTCAGGAGAGTCCCTGGTGCTCCGGGAGTGAGGCTCCGGAACCCCCTGCCGGGGCTGGCCCAGGGTCACTGGGGGCTGCACCTCTCGGGGGCCCTGCTGGCCCCACACTGCCGGGGCTGTGAGTGCAGCCTGGCATGTACTGGGCTCTGTGTCAGGGCACAGGCCAAGGGGGCTGCAGTGGGGTGGGGTCCATCCCCCTGGCAGGGCGCAGAGACAGCGCCGCCAGCCGAGCCGCCAGGGAATCAAACGGCTCCACGGGACCCAGAGCATCGATCTGTGAGCCCCGGGCATGAGCAAGCGCCACATCAGCGCCCCTGCACGCACCACCCTGCCCCCCGGGCACAGAGCACACGGGACGGCCTCCCTCCGACCCACAGCAACGCCAGCCTTCGGAGAAGGGGGGCAGGCAGCGCGACTCCCACGAACCTGGCACTGGCACTCACCAGGGCTGGGCATGCCCAGGCCCTCGGCACCCGTTCCCCCACCCCCACGCTCTGCACATGCCCCCCTGCGCCCCCTCCCCCCAAATCCCCTGGGCACACAGGGACACCTCAGCAGCTGCACCCCATGTACCCCCAGCCCCTGCACCCCCCGCATCAGGCCAAAGCCACAGGCCAAGCCCATGGACCCCTCCCCACGCTGCTCCCGCTCTGCGGGGGGAGGGGGGGCGGGGGGCTCACGTACCACTTTCTGGAACTGCTTCTCCTTCCGCGCCTCCACCATGACCAGCCCCTCCTTGACCAGCCCCAGCCCCACGTCGCCCTTGGAGTCAGCGAACTGCAGGGTGACGTGGGGGCAGCTGGGCCCGAGGTGCTCCACGTTCAGCAGGCACTGGGTGTTCTGGATGTCCCGCACCACGCTATCCACCGCGTCGGCGCGCGCGTCGTCCTGGAGAGGCCGGGAGAGAGAGACCGTCGCCACGGGGCTGGGCATGGGCGACGCGTGGCCAGAGCCGGGCGGGGAAGCCGGGCCCTGAGCTGAGCACACAGGGGCGGTGTGGAGTGTGCCCGGGGGCGTTGCAAAGCCGGTCAGAGATGGACACGTGTTGAGAACGGCCGACACGATCGGCCCCTCCCTGGAGTCGGGAAGAGATGTATTTTGCCCGCTGTGGGCAGCAGGGCGCTGGGCAGGCTGGGTCCAGGCCCCACCTTCTGGGGAGCCCCCCTCCACCCCATGGGGAGCCCTGCCCCTGCCCCGCCCCCCTGGGAACCCCACCCCTGCATACTTACATCCTGTGGCACCTGGATGAAGGCAAACTTGTACTCGATGGCCTGGGCGGGCAGGATGCGGGTGCTGAAGGCAGGCGGCAGGGTGCCCAGGCGCGTAGAGGGCAGGGTCTCCTTCTGCAGGGAGCAAAGGGACAGGGTGGTCAGGGGGCTCCACGGGGCGGCGGGCGCTCCGGCATGGTGCGCAAGCTCTCCCGCTGCGTGTCGTGGCAGGGCCAGAGGCGCTCAGCCCCGCAGTGTGAACCGCGCCCGTGGAGCGCGCCGGGCACCCGGGTGTGGCAGCGAGGAGAACAGCCACGCCGCGCCTGCCCCGGGCGATACAGCAGGGTGGGGGCAGGGAGACCAGGATCTCAGCGCTTGGGGGCCAGGTGGATGGGCAGGTTCCTGACCATCTGCACTGGAACTGTGTGATTCCCGCACCCGCATTCCATTCTCAGCCCTTCCGCCGGGGCCGCCGCGGCTTGGCCCTTCCTCGGCACGCTGCTGACAGACAGGGGTGGGGGCTGCGTTCCTTGCAGCCTAAGTCCTCCAGTGGTTGCTGGGGAGGGAGCCGGGCTTAGCCGGGCTGGCTGGGGTGGTGAACATGCCCGCGGCCGCCCAGCGGGTAGCGGTGCCCCCACGGAGGGGCCAGGAACTCACGTTGCCGTAGTCGATGTAGAAGATGTGCACCCTGGCTGGCGACTCCACCTTCTCCACGCGGGCCCGGTACCTGGCAGGCAGGGAACACGGATGAGAACCAGCCCCCCCTGCCCCCCAACAGACGGGAGCAGGCCGATGGGACCGAGAGAGACCGACTGGGGGAGAGAGCCCCTAGACAGACCCCCGAGGTGCAGCCCGAACCCCGGCCCTGCTCAGATCCCCAGCACTGCCCCTCTCCTGCCGTCCCTGCCCCCTGGCCGGGCTCCAGGCGCCGAGAGGGGAGGAACAGATCAATGGGCCCCGGAGCACAAAGCACCGCGACTGATGAGCAGATTGATGTGCGCTGCTGAAACCAACCCGCTCGCCACGGCGGTAATTAGCCGCAGATCCGGCTGGGGCTTCGCACCGACAGACGTCCGTGGTGCCTTCGCCGCCCCCGGCCCGGGACAGGATCTCAGCTGTGCCCTGCGCAGAGCCAGGCTGCTCCCCCCGAGGAGCAGGAGACAGAACAGAGCCTGGCAGCCACCGACTGTGCCGGGCCTGGCGCGCCCCGCGTGGCTCTCCCGGAGCCGGGCACAGAGTCACTGCACGGAGCCCCCCGGGAGAGAGCCGCACCCCAGTGCAGGCCACCGGACCAGCAGCTGAGCCCCTCGCTGAGCGCCCCCTCCTCACCAGGCAGAGGCCTGGGCCTGCACAGGGAACCCCACTGGCCTTCCCTGGGGGTGAGAGCAAAGAGCCCCTGCCAAGGCCCCAGCTTTGCTCAGCGCCCAGCAGGGGGCGATGCCCACCAGAGGGGGCAGCAGGAGCTGGTGCAGACAGAACGGGGGCTGCCCTGCTGGAGTGGGGGCGGGGACCCGTCCCGTGGCAGGAGCGGCAGGGTAAGGCACGTCGGAGCAGAGATACTGCTGCTGGGGGTTCAGACCAAGGCACAGCTGAGGGCCCCCCCACCCCCGCCCCGTGCTCTGATGCATTTGGGGGGGGGGGCGGGCTGCTGGCTGGGACCCGCAGTGCCAAGGTGTGAACACAGCTGTGCCAACTCACAGCTGCCAAGGTGCTGGCACCCTCCCCCCGCACAGTGGCCTCACACAGCCGGGGGGCGTTTCCCATCTGTTCCTCCCGGCAGCGGGAGAGGGGATTGGGGCTTGCAGCCCCCCAGAGGCAGTGGGAGCAGCCGAGGAGCCTGGTGGCTTCTCCCTGCAGCACGGAGGAGGGTCCCCTCACCAGTGAGCTCTGAGGCCGTGCCACGCCGGGGCAGGGCAGTGTCTGGAGGTGCCACTCCGGGCCAGGTCCCTTCCCAGCCATGGCAACCAGCCCGGCCCCAGGGCTGGAGCTGGCACCATTTGTGAGGGGCGGAGGTGTATGTGCAGAGTGCCTGCTCATCTCAGTGATGTGGGCCCCGGGCTGGCTCTGCTGGGCACAGCCGGCTGCGGCGTGGGCCCCGGGCTGGCTCTGCTGGGCACGGCCGGCTGCGGCGTGGGCCCCGGGCCGGCTCTGCTGGGCACGGCCGGCTGCGGCGTGGGTCCCGGGCCGGCTCTGCTGGGCACGGCCGGCTGCGGCATGGGCCCCGGGCCGGCTGCTTGCTATGACCTGGATTCCGCTGACACCCCACGGATAAAGCTGGCTTGAGGTCTCCCCTCCTCCCTCAGAGAGTTGTGACCCCCAGCACAGGCATTTCTGGCACCAGCCCAGTTCTACCCCCTGTCACGGAGTGTGGGGGAGTCAGAGCCCTGCACCCCTCTTCCTGAGATTCACCGTGACTCTCAGCCAGCCAGTAAAACAGAAGGTTTATTAGATGACAGGAACACAGTCCCAAGCAGAGCGTGTAGGTGCAACCAGAACCCCTCAATCAAGTCCTTCTGGGGGGTTTAGGGAGCTTAGACCCCAGCTTGGGGTTCCCTGCGTTGCACCACCCAGCCCAAACTGAAAACTAAAAACTCCTCCAGCCCCTTTCTCCCCACTCCTCTCTGCTCCTCCTCTCCTTTGTTCAGTCTCCCAGGCAGAAGGTGTTTCTTCTCCCAACCTCCCTCCTGGCTCAGGTTACAGCTCAGGTAGCTTCCTTCAAGGGAAGTCCCCATCCCCAGTGTAACCCCCCTGCAACATTCCCAGGTCAAATCTGCCCCGCTCCCTGCTCCGTCACACCCTCCCCCTGGCTCCTGCCTGCCAGCGATACCCCTGCTGGGCCTGGGGCCAGCGATTCCCGAACCCTCCCATCCTGCCCTGGGAGGCTGCGGGGTGAACAGACACGGATGGCTCAGCTCCCCCAGCCCTCCCCCTGCGCCCACCCCCTGTATTACTGCACTGAGCCAGCGCCCCCCCTCACCGAGAGCCCTCCCCTGGCTCCCGGGGCACTATTCTTAGGCGGGGCATTCAGCAGGAGCTGGTGTACCCAGCGCATGCCCAGCGGCACTGCAGCCAGAGCCCTGCCCCCACATCCCTGGGGAGAGGACGCCCCCCAGCTGGCCACGTGGCTCCGTGCCCAGCCCGGGACCGAGACTCACCATTCCCCATCCACAAACTTGGCGATGCAGTAGTCCCCGCGGCGCGGCGCGTAGGACCCTTCCACGGGCGGGTGGCCGGCGATCTCGCTCCGCATGTTCTCCATCAGCTTCTCCAGCTGGGTCCCTGCAGGGGGAGAGACCTGGTCAGGCAGGGGGCACCTGTCAGAGCCAGCCCAAGGGCCACCCGCGCAGCCCCTCACAGGCGGCCGCTCTCCAGCTGCGGCCGCAGCGGTGCCGGCTGCCTGGGCGCTGAGCGCGTGGCCTGGCTGGGTTTAGAGCTCGCGTCACTCCCGGTAACCGCCTGGCACCGATACCCTCCACTCTGACGCATGACACAGGCATGGCACTGCCCTGAATGACTCCGTTTGAGCCAGAGCAGAGCTGTCAGACAAACGGCCACCCTTCACTTGCAAATAATCCCCCCGAACCCCTATTCCACTGATTAATTACCCTCCCCGTTCTACAGTCCCGGTTCATTCCAGCCCAGGGTCTCGCTCCCGCTGCCCACCATGGGACCTGCTAGGCCGACGGGCCCCTGATCAAATACTTCTCCCTGGGCAGGTACTGACAGACTGGGATCAGGCGACCCCTTCGCTGCTTCTCTGCGATGCTAAACAGCCGGAGCTCCACGGGTCTCTCACTCAAGGCAGGTTTCGAAGCCTTTAATCCGGCGCGCCCCAACGGTCACGGCCCACTTTACCCCCTGCCCTCTCGGGAGCCAGGAGTGGGGCCACAGCTCGGGGGGGAGGGGGGAGGGAGGCGCAGACAGAGGTAAGGGGGCCAAGGCTGGGGCTGGAGCTGGGGTCGGTCCGAGCTGGGGCTGGGGGCACCGGGAGCAGAGCCGCAGCTGGGGGCTGAGGATGGGGGCAGGGCTGGGGACAGGCCACGATCGGGGGCCAAGGCTTGGGCTGGAGCAGGGCTGGGTGGCACTCCCACCCACCACCACCCCGTACGTTCCTCTGTGCCCCCTGGGGGGGGCGCCCCACAGTTTGGGGGTCTCTGCTTTAAGAATTCTCATGGCTCTTTGCTGTCCCTTTTCTCCTCTGGCGCCGGTTTGTAAGTGCCTGGGGCGTAGCTGCACCTGGCCCGGGCACAGACGGACGATCTGGGGGCCTGGTTCGCTGTGCTACACCGAGAACCCGGGCGCAGCAAGGTCCCGGCGGGATCAGACGGCTCCTGGCAGGGCCGGAGCTTCCCCCTCCCGAACGGGAGCCGCAGCACAGGGGGCGAAGCTCATTTGAATTGAAACTACGGCCCCTTCCCTCCCGAACAACCTCTCTCCGGGTCTGTCCCTCCTGCAGGCTCTGTGCCGAGCCCCCCCTGCTCACAATCCGGCCTGGTGGCGCCTTACACCTCCCGGGCATGGCGCTGCCCTCCCTGGATCTACCCCGGTGACTTCCCCAGGGCCCCGCCAATGCCCACACGTCCTAGTCCTACCCTTTGTTTCCTGCCTTTTAACCCGTTACTGATCCATGAGAGAACCGTCCCTTTTGCCCCATGGCGGCTCACTTTGCTCAAGAGCCTTTGGTGAGGGACCTTGTCAAAGGCTTTCTGAAAATCCAAGTCCACTATATCCACGGGATCCCCTTGGTCCAGTGGATGATGGACGGACGGATGGGGCACCTTCTGGGGAGCTGGAGCCTCGCCCCTGCTGGCCAGAGGAGGGGAAGTAGCCGAGCTGCTCCCCGTGGCCCCGAGCCCATCACCCACCCTCTCCCCGAGCCCCTGCTGTGCCGCACGGTCCCTCACGTACCCAGTGCCCAGGTGGGCCGAGGTGCAAGAGGAGCTGGTGCAGCTGTGGGCGTGAGCGTGGGGAGAGGCTCCCCCCGGGGCTCGCCCGTTACCGAGGGCCTGGCCCAGGGAGCCACTCGCTGCCGGGAGCGAGCCCGTGGCTCACCCTGGGGAGGTGCCGGCTGGGCACGCTGCCCACACCCTGCAGGCCACATGGCCTCACCCGGCCCAGCCGGGCCGGGAGCAGTGGAGCTGCCGGGGGGATGGGCCCTGTGAGACTCGGCTCTGATTCCTCATGGCTGGTTCCTGAGCTCGGCGCTCCCAGCCAGACGGGAGCAGCTGCCCACAGGCCCCCGAGGAAGGAGAGAGGAGTGGGGGCAATCCCCCCCCCAGCCCTGCCTTGTCCCATCCCACCGCGGTTACACGATGCCCCCCCTGCCCCGCCGCCACCTACCTGTCTCCACGTCCTGCACGTAGAAGTGCAGCTCGTCGGTGATCTCCGTCACGAAGACCGGCTTGTAGTTGGTGGTTCGCTCCTTCTCCTCCAGCACCGGCACCACCTCCTCCACCGGCGCCTCCTCGTACTGGGACCAGACCTGCCGGGGAGAGGAGACTGGGGCTGAGAGACGGAGCGGGCGAGGGGCACCGAGTCGTTCTCCGGGGGACCCCCCCGGCCCAGCGCTGACCCAGTGCACCGGGGAGCCCAGGGCTGGCACAGCAGGTGGCGGTGCGGGTCGGGACTGAGGGGCAGCGACAGAGCTGTGTGCCTGGGCAGCTCAGGGCTGGGATGGCGGAGGGGTGCTGTGGGTTGGGATTAAAAGACACTGGCAGAGCTGGGGGGCGGGGGGAGCCCAGGGCTGGCACAGCAGGCGGTGGTGCAGATCGGGACTGAGGGGCAGCGACAGAGCTGGGGGGCGGGGGGAGCCCAGGGCTGGGATAGCAGGGGGCTGCGGGTCTGGATAGAGGGGCATTGATGGGTAGAGAGCAGTTACACGCTGCAGCTCGGCAGGCTCAGGGGAAGGGGTGGGCTCCTGGCACCGGTGTGTTATTAACCATCCACAGCTCCCTCCCTCTGGGCCAGACTCTGCTGCGGCTTCACCACCTGCCCCCGGGTGACTCTGGATTCACACCAGGCGCAGCAGCCCGTGGCCCGGAGCTGCTGGGAGGGGGAAGGCCCCTGGGCTAGCACGGACCAGATGTGCAGGGTGCAGCCCGGGCACCAGGGCCTGGCCAGGGCGCTGGGAAATGCCGGCATGGCAGTACCACCCTACCAGCCCCGGTTTGAGCCGGTGCAGCTCAGGTGCCCTGCGAGTGGCTGCAGCCCTTGGCAATGCCCCAGGCAGCAGTGCCCAGCCAGCCCGGCCCATGCCCACGCCCTGGGAAGGACGCAGCTGTTGAGCAGTGACCTCTCCTCCCCTAGCCCCACGCTGAGCGGCGCCGGCACCCCGGCGTTCAGGATGGCAGGAGCGGGCCGGGACGCTGATTGGACGTGACAGCGTGTCACGTCCAATCCCGTCGCTCAGAGGCTGAACAAGCAGCGGGGGCTGTCACAGGCGGCCAGCGACACAGGCCAGCCGACGGTGTGGGCACAGCAGAACACACACACACCTGCTGCCACGGGGAGCAGAAACCCCCTCACGCTCGGGGCTGAGACGAGGGAGCAGCTGGCGGGGAGCAGACCCCAGCCCCCGCCAGACCGAGGGGGCACCGCAGCCTGCAGCCGGGTTACCGGCATGGCCGAGCTGGATGGAGCTGCCCCGGCTCGCGGCAGTGAGGAGGAAGGATCGGATCAGACCCAGCCTGAGCAACGAGAATGGATCAACCGGTCACATCGACTGCCTGCCTCACCCCCGGCCGATCGCTGGCCAGCCCAGAGAGCTCCCCACAGGCTGCGAGTGCGCCACGGACACCAGAGAGCAGGCTCTGGCCAAAGCAAGCAGCCCAGCGAGCAAGCTGCGGCCGGGGTGCCACCTGGGGCCAGGGAAAGGGCACGGCTGGCGAAGCCCCCCTCAGACACCGGCGTTGGGGCAGGGAAGCAGCCAGGCAGACGAGGCGCCTGCTTCGGACCGGGACCGGCTCTGCAGAGCGCGGCTTCCCCGTGACAGGGGCTCTTTGGAGCCACCAAAGCGCTGCCCCTCAGAGAGAGGTGCCCGTACCTGGGCACACAGCCGCCTCTGCGAACGGGGCCTGCAGTGACCTGCCCACGGCCCCTCGCTGAGTCAGCCGCGGCACGAGGACCTCTCCCTCTCCACCCAGCACCGGCAGGAGCCCTCCCCCCGGAAGCCACCACAGGGCCCCTGCGCGCGGACACCACAAGGAGACGCTGCTGGGCACAGGCAGGACGGTTCCCTGGGCTGAGTTCTCATGGGTGCGCGGTGCCTGGGCTGGGAACTTCCCTTCACCCGTCTCCTTCCAGCCCCCTGGGTCAGCGCCCCCCCCCCCGGCAGGGCTCCCGGCACCCCCAGAGCACGGGGCGGCCGTGCTGAGCTCACCCCGCTCACGGACCGAGGCAGCCACCATCCCGGGGAGGAGCCGACAGCGGGGCGCCCAGCCGGGCCTTGTGCCCATGGCACCTGAACCAAGGGCTGGCCTGTGGGGGAGTCCTGGCACCTGTCCCAGGCCCAGTGCCTGGCAGCCACGTGTGCTTGGGACCATGGCCAGGCCCCGTGGTGCTGCAGGCAAGGCACCTCCAGCACTACTGCCTGTCCTGCCACCGGCCGCCCCGTATCATCTGAGCGGCCCCCGGGTTGTGAAGGGCTCCAAGATCCAGGCTGGTTAGATACCGAGGTGACAGGTGGGCACCTTCCAGGACAGAGACGGGGGCGTGGGCATCTGGCCCCCATCACAACCGAGTGCTGCGGGCTGCCGGAGCTACAGCCCCTGGGGTCCCACACCTCCTGCTGGCACCGTGGCTGCTCAGGCCTGACTGCCCGGGTAGCAGGGGACCCCAGCTCCACTCGCCCGCCCAGCACCGGGCTCTGGCCGGGGTAGGAGCCCATCAGCCATCTCCCAAGGCTGGAGCTGTGCTGCCCCAGCCCTGAGACCCTGCCCGCGGGGCACGGAGCCAGGGCTGCCCGCGGGGCACGGAGCCAGGGTTCTGCCCAGGTGTGACGTTATTGACATAAACTGGGACCATATAGATCATTGTTGCAACCAAGGTCCTGTAGTGGCACCAAATCTTGTATAAAGGGGGTCAAATGGGGTGTCTAAGACAAGGTTATGGTTTACTGGTTATTATTATGCTGTCTATATGTGTGTATCAGTTTTGTAGTTGAAGTTATGAATATTGGCTCTATACTGTCTGTATGGCAAACTTATGCTATGCTTCTGGGTGACATCCCAGACAAGCTGGGATTGGCTCTGCCTAGCCTGCTTGATGGCCCATTAAGGACCATCAGCTATACAATGGACTCATTGAGAGAAGGCAAATATGCCTTCAGACTCAGCAAAGTATGCAGGGACTGGCCCATGTGACTCCAGACTCCATTTTGCTGTAATTTTCCACAGTAAGGACAAAGAGGTGTTCTTACACCTGGAAAAGACTATAAAAGGCTGATGCCTCATCTCCATCTTGTCTTCAATCCTGCTTCATACCTCTGGAGGGACTTTGCTACAAACTGAAGCTCTGAACAAAGGACTGAGGACCCATCCCAGCTGGGGATGTTCCAGAGACTTGATTTGAACCTGCAGTTTATTCCATCACTGCTACAAGCCTGAACCAAGAACTTTGCCATTACTGTATGGAATTGATTCCATTTAACCAATTCTAGCTCTCATCTCTATCTTTTTCCTTTTATGAATAAACCTTTAGATTTTAGATTCTAAAGGATTGGCAACAGCGTGATTTGTGGGTAAGATCTGATTTGTATATTGACCTGGGTCTGGGGCTTGATCCTTTGGAATCAGGAGAACCTTTTTCTTTTACTGGGGTCTTGGTTTTCATAACCATTTGTCCCCATAACGAGTGGCACTGGTGGTGATACTGGGAAACTGGAGTGTCTAAGGAGATTGCTTGTGGGACTTGCGGTTAGCCAGTGGGGTGAGACCGAAGCCCTCCTAGTCTGGCTGGTTTGGTTTGCCTTAGAGGTGGAAAAACCCCAGCCTTGGGCTGTAACTGCCCTGTTTGAGCAATTTGTCCTGAGTTGGCACTCTCAGTTGGGTTCCGCCAGAACCGCATTGTCACACCAGGCTGCTCCCAGGGTCAGTGGCACACCTCGGGCTAGAACCCAGGAGTCCTGACCCCATTTCCACCCCCCCCAACCCACAGACCCCCACCCTGGCCCAGAGTTGGGAACCCAGGAGTCCTGACCCCACCCCCAACTCACTAGAATCCACTCCCCTCCCAGCCTGGGAGAGAACCCAGGAGTCCTGGTGCCTGCTCTGAGCACTGACACGGGAACACAAACCCGTCGGCGCCGGCAAGGGCAGCCCGAGAGGCGGCCGTATAGCCGCTGCGAATGGCTGAGCGAAGCAGCTCGGTGCCAGGGGGCCTGGCCAGCCTGTCCCCGCTACGAAGGAGCCGGGGTGGGGGGCTCACTACAAACACCGTCTGCCCCGGACCAGAGCCCAGGCGCTGACAACATGGGGCCCAGCCCCAGACAATGCCCATGGCTGGCATGTGCCGCTGCTGGCGTTGGGGGACCCTGTTCTCAGAGCCAGCCACAGCCACCGCCAATCCCTCCGCCCCACGCTGGCGGTAGCCACGGCTCTGCAAGGGGGGGCTCTGGGACGGGACAGAGCGGCTCTCCAGGGCACGCAGCCAAATGCAGACTCCAGGCTGGGCACAGGGGCTATGCCAGCCCAGCACAGGGTCTCCCAGTGCTTACTGAGGGCCAGAACCCTGGGGGGGAGCTGCACGTGGGATGGGAACGCCGAGCCAGCACTGCAGTCCTGTGGCTGAGGAGGAGCCCCCCCCTCCCATGCAACGCTCACCCCAGCCCCTGGGAGCACAGGCCTCTGGGGACAGATGCCCACTCACGGCGCCCCTGGGTAGCCGAGTCAGCGGCTGGAATGGCTCAAGCTGGGCCTGGATTCTCTGCAGTCCAAGCCGGGATGGAAAGGGGCCGGCGTCGAAGGGAAAGACTGAAAGGCACTGGGGGGAATTGGTGCTGAGACGGTAGCCAGACAGAGCCCGGGGGCCACGGGGACATCAGCGGGGCTGGGCTCAGCACAGGGCCGTATTTGCCGGGGCGGGCAGGCCTGGGCAAAGCTCCAGCAGCTGAGGATCTGGGCCGGACCGTTTTGGGATTTCATTTACCCGGATTCTCGCTGCCTGTGCCGGGGCGGGTGGGACCGGGACTGCCCCTGAAGGCGGCTCTCCTCCCAGGGACAGTGTGGAGAGACGCGGGACGCCCACCCTAGGCAGACACTGAGCTACACGGGCGCTGGCTAGACTCTGCTCTGCCCCTGCCGCGCTTGGGCACTGCGCCTCGGGCTGCTCCTTGTCTGAATCCTTGCCAGCCTGTAACCCAGCAGAGAGGCCCCTGGGCCGGGCCACTGCGTGGACAGCCAGGTGCTTGCCGGCTGCAGATCCTGCTGCCTGCCTATCAGCTTGGGGACTCTCCTTCGACTGCCCCTGCGCCCGGGGTGGGCCCTGCTGCAATGTGCCCTGGGGCGGGGCTGCGGCGAGCAGAGGGTGGCAGGGAACAGGATCATCCGGTCCGGGGGCCAGCGCAGGGCTGCTCCCCGCCATGCGCTCCAGCCCTTTGCCCCGTTACAAAGCGTCCCGGGCCAGGAGGCTTCCCAACATCTCTCTGCCAGGGGGCTTGCTGGTATCCAGCCTAAATCGCCCCTGGCTCCGCTCTGGCCTCGTGCGCTGTTCGCAAAGCGCAGCAGCCGTGAGTCACCAGTGGTACATTTAGCCAGGTGGCCCTGGTGTGTGCTGCCCAGCGCTGCCAGCCCAGAGGGGCCAGGGCTCTGCCCGCAGCAAGCACCCAGCCGAGGGGGCAGAGACCGAGCAGGCCCTGCCCTTCCCGGCCAGGGGAGTGGCTCACTCTGCCGGGTACAGGTCAGCGTCTCTGCGCCTGCCCCAGCCAGGGCTGCGGGAGTCTGGAGCCGGGGTGCAGGCAGTGCGAGCCAGCTGGGAAGGGAGCAGGCAGAGGTGGCTGCAGGGACCCCGCGAAGGGAGAGAGCAAGCACAGGGCACACGCAGCCCCACGGAGAAGCTCGGCCAGGGGAGAAGAGAAGCAGCAGGCGGCGAGCCCAGGGCAGGGACACCGCGCAGGATTCACTTTCTGACAGCGAACTCCCAGCTCCCGTGAGGTCTGCCTGCCTCTCCAGGGGGCCGGGAACCAGGCTGGGGGTCGGGGAGCATTCAGGAGGCAGCAGCCTCTGCCCACCCCCCAGCTGGGCTAGGGAGTGGTGGCACTCTGGGTCGCCCATGCGATCCTACAGCAGCCAGCCCCAGCGCTGGGGGTCACTTGATCGCAGGCTCAGCTCTCACAGACATGGTGGGGGGACTAAGGGGGGCTTACGCGCGCTGGTCCCTGCTTATCGGAGCACGCACACTTTCATGTGATCTCCCCCAGCTGCTGAATCAGCCCCTGGATGTAATTAATGGAAGAATTAAGTGGACTGCTGGCTGGAGCCCCAGGGGCCCCGCACGCCGCTCGCGAAGCGCTCCCAACAGACCACATTCAATTAAGCCTAGAAGACGGCTAGCTGGCTCCGCGCACCACGGGGGCTTCCCTCGAATGCAGGAGCTCGCTGCGCGCTCCCGAGCCCTGGCGCGGGCCG